CTTGTTAACAGTCGCAGAAACTTACTGCCTAAATCAATATATGTATACTCGTATGTATTTATGTATGTATATATATCATAAAAATATTTAAATTTTTCGGTATTTCTGTTTGGCTTATATATTTAATGAAGAACAATCAACCGGTGTTATATTTACTGACGAATGTTGCCTTCTTATACGTTGCTGATTAATTATAGAATTATATAATAATAATATATATAATTGTCGAAATCATCCACGTATCGTGTATATTGAGTATTAAATATTTAAGAAATCGTACGACGATCAAAGATCCAAACTTGGCGGTTATTTATCAATGTATTTTTTTTATTGAAAAAACCCACGTAACATTACGTTAACTGTACTTTAAATGTATTTATTAAGTACGGTGTACACCGGAACACATCAATTACACAACGTATATAATTATTATACCAGGCGCAGTATACTTATTACACTCTAAGGTTTTGAATGATGTATCATCGATATCCGCTTATATCCTTCGCGCATGCCGTATATACTGTTAACACCCATTTAGTTTAATAGTCAGCGTTTACTAGTTGGACCCCGAAGATCCTTATTCAGTCTAGTAAGATCCTAGTGTTTTTCAGGTAGTACACTAGCTGGGTTCCACGATTTCACAAGTACTACACTAGTTGGGTCCTTTCAAAAAAAAAAGTTTCATTTCTCATTTTTACAGCCTTAGGACTGTCAGTTACATATGAATTAGAACACAGGTACTAATACACAGGTACTCGTATATGGTTAATAAATAAATCAAATGATTGAAAAATTAAAAAATTTACACAATTGATAAAAATTTAAATTTTAGAGCTTTTACAAACTCAAATCTATTAATTTTTTAATATTATCAAGTGTATTAATACTTGAGAGTTACAGGTTTTATTGTCTTAGTGTTCGGACCGAACTCGAATGTTATTTTTTTATAATTGTACCCACTTAGTTGTTTATCTTTATCATAAATATTATCTAGGACCCAACTTGGATACGTCTATAATAGTTGAACCGAAGAATTTTTGTTATATAATTAATTATAACTTGTAAATTTAGACATTTTGTTACTAGAAAAAGTCAAAGTACATATACAATGTGCATATATGTTACATACGTTATAGAGTCAATGCCAATCTAATTCTATTGGAAAATTAGTGATTATCCGGTTCGAAAAAAAAAAATTGAAATAATACGCGTATAGTAACGTTTCTACGTTTCCGGTTCAACATGTTATATTATTATTAGGCACGCACTATGTAAATAATATCACGGTGTACGTACAATAACTAGATAATATTATTAGAGGTCACAAGTCCATGCACAGCGGATTGCCCGTGTGAGAAATGGACAAAAATGCGCCTGAAATAAACCAGATTTGTATTCGGATGTTGGGACGTCATGCGAACCGATAAAACGATTACTACTTATTACGTTTATGTCACGGCAGAAATTAAGAAAAAATTATATTTCCATTTTATCGCTTAACGGCGACGGCAGTGGTAAACACATGGCTATTGATTACGTACAATACCTCTGCAGAGGTTCGATGTAGTCTACTAAATATTCTGTCAAAAGTTCACCATATATTGAATGTTATGCGCACAGCGCATGAAGTATTAATTAAATTTATATTGAACAATGTTAAAGTCAAATACTATATTACATAATGATGGTTACTGTAGGTAAATACACACGCTATACTTAATTGTATTTAAATGCATTTATTGTAATTGAATGTTATTGAAATACGTAATTAGTGTTCAGTATTTAAATGCATGTCATTGTAATTTGTATCTTGTGCATAGAACATTTAAAACGTTTAGAACGTTTAAAAAAACACATTTTAATTACAAACTAAACCGTCTATAATGTTATTATGACGACACTGTGGGTCATAGTGGCTGGACAATAATATTATACATTATTATATAATGTCCGAACAATGGAGTAATTGTAGTACCATGCTCTTGCATTTTAACGTGGTAATATTTATAGTAGTTATATTTTATTCGTAAGTAAATAGCTGTAAGTTATCTTTTGGAAAGTTGGTTGGAAATAAGAATCGATATAAATTAATATCGGAAATTCGGTTCAAATTGGCCTGAATTTAAAAAAAAAAAATGAGAAGTTATTATGCGTATGAATTATACTGAGAATAAGCGTCACTCTTTATTTTAACCGTGTTTATTTTTACTGTTAGTAAATACCAAGAAAATTTATCAAAAGTAGTATTGTTTCTTTAAATTTTGAATTTTAGATAGACAAAAGTTTAACATTTGTTGTTCTGTATCATGTGTGTTCCAAGAAATTTTTTAATGGGGAGGGAGGGAATTAACTAAAAAAATAAATAAGATTTTTTTTGTACATTTATACTTACATTTTATTTATACATTTTTTTTCCTTAAATATAAGATATACGGTGTGATAAAATAATCCAATTTTTATTAAAGATAGTTTTCTTCTATGTATAATATATGTTATATTAAAGTAATCTATGTTTACTTAATTGACGCCTAACATAAAATTCTTTGGAAAACAAATTTAAAATTCTAGGGGGTGCCCCGTCTTGCCCACCTCTGGAGACGTATACATGCAAGTACCTATAAAAAGGTCTTAAAACTTATGCTTAGCAATTTATTGATCTTAGACTTTGAACCAAGCGAAGAAAGTATTGGTTTTATCGATGATTTTTTTTTTTTTTTTGTCAAATAATTTTTCGTTTTGCAAGTCTACACTAAAAATTTCATGTTGTACACTATTTTAAGATCGAGCAAAAGATTGAACACGGTTGTTACATTATAAATGTAGTATTTTGATTTTTTAAATAGATATATTGATGTTAAGGAAATACCGAAATAAAAAATTGTGTTAAATTTCATCTTATTTCACCTTTTGATAAAATCAGTAATTTTGTAATTTTGAGTTGAAAGTTGTGTAGAAGTCTAATACTAAAAAATTTGACCTAGTATTAATTATCGATAATATACTTAGCTGGATCAATATTTGTTACGACAAATAAGTTGGTTGAAGTGTGGAAGTATTAATCATCTTCATGAGTATTGATGATTTTTTTTCAGACTTTAAGATATCTAATAATTATCAAGATGTTGGCTTTTGTTTGCTGTTTCTGAAATTTAACGATTCATCGTTTTCGTAAGTTCCAATAAATAATACTGGACCAATTAACCCGCTACCAGTAGAACAGAAAATATATAGACGTAAAGTCGATGTTATTTCTCATGATGTTTGTTCATTTAGTTCAATAATTAATGGCCGATAATTCTTGTTCCCGTTATTAGAATAATATTGTTTTTAATTTTTAAATTGAAAATCAACATAATACAAGTCGAATCAACTAAATTTATCATATTAGGTACCTAGTTGTATCCCGATTTAGCGGACTACACGCGGTCTGTAAAGAAGTTGAGTTTGGCATCGTACTAAATCAAAACTCTTAGTACCCCCACGCTGTGCATTATATCGAACAAGAATTCGTCCGAATGGAGGTCGAAATAATCTGAAAACGGTAACTGCGATGTGTTGTGTACAACTGGATAGTGTTGAACCCGATCCCGGGCTCTACTATTCTTCGCATATTAATATATGATTAGCGATCACGAATAGTTGTCAGAACGCGGGAACCTTGTTTGTCGAACGGTAGCGTTCAGAACGTGCACACGCTTCGACGATTTCATCATAATAGCAGACGATCGTTCGAGAACGAGCGCGGGAGACACGGGTGTACGTGTAAAGTGAATCAGGTGAAGAAAATAGCGGAACTCGATTTGCAGGAAAACGAAGTAAAGGACTCAGTGAAACGATTTATAACTATAAGTTCCTAGTGTACAACTGTTATATATTCAACATGGACCCTAGGGGGCTTTGCCGTCTGCCCTTTCCTCAGCCTCAAATCAAATAATTTAAACATAAACCAATAAAGACTACCTTCAAGTTATATTGAACTATGTCAACTCTAACATACGAGTATTTTACCAACATATTAATAAATTATGTTAAAATACTACAGTTTCCGAATATCTTTCTGAAATACTTTCAATCGCATATGATATAATGCTTTTGTAAATGATGAGTGAAAGTATTGGTAACATACAGGTAATAAACAGATATGGTAATCTTATTATTAATGTGGACAATAGCGCTTACTTGGTTGCAATCACTGGATGTCATTCTAATCGTTTGCATTCAATTCGATAAAAACTTTCAACAATAAAACTGTTGCTTAGAGTTATTTTATTTTTACTATTGAAAACCAGTGTTATCGAGTTTAATACAGATCTGTCTTCTCCCATAGTCTTTATGTGCCCAGGGTTCCCATCTGACTGGAGGCTCCAAATAATATAAATTACAACTTTAAATTTTATGCTGTAACATAGCTTTTGATGTTTTTATTCAACTTTTTCTTAGCTTACTAAAAGGCCGCTCATGAGCTCTTGTATAGCCATTGATGGCTCTGGTTGAATACAAATGATTATAGTGACGTCTAGTGATTGTATCCAAATAGTAACAACCAATTTTAAAATTAGGACAGAATATCTGTAAAAAAATAAATGCTGGTGGATAATGTCAAGTTGACAGTTTTGAGTTTCAGTGGGATGATTAATTTTGAAAAGAAGTTGGTAAAGTACAGTTTTTTTCGCTGCTCATAATCCGTATACATTTGAATACCCTTTAAGAATATTTAAATTAAAAATCACTTCGAAAGTTATTTTATGTCGTCCATTCTTTTCATACGTATTTTTCAGCTACGTTATATTTTTTCAAACCATTAATAAATATTTTTAACTTATCAAACTCTGGCTTATTTTAATACCTAATAGTACTTTTTTCGATATGGCGTTTGTTAGTAATTCATTATGAAGTTCAATATATGTATAAATCTTTGAACACGACGTGTTTGACCAAACATTTTCACCTATTATTTTTTGTGACGAGTTTCAACTTTACATGATTATTCACTGTTTGAGATGTCACAGATTGTCGACCAAAGGAGTTGGCGCACTTTGACATGGAAAAACAATAATGAAAAATACCTTATGAAGCTGAACAAATGTCTTCATCACGAACGCATAATGAGCGTATTAAGTGATTGGTATAAGGTTAAAACGCACGTCCAAGGAAGGTAAGTGATAAAATGTACGTGTTCATCTATAGTGCACATATCTATAACTGTGCTACACTGTAATTCAAATGTTCATACAACGCTCACTCGAGTACGTAACTCTCAGAAAAAGTCATGTTTTTCACATATTTTGTCATAATAATCACGAAAATCAATCAAATAAATATAACGTATTGTACACGTTTTGTAGGGCAAAACCATGTAGTGGAGAATTATGTAGAAAATAAATCCCATACACAACTCGTACGATTAGAGTTTCAAGCACACATATGAATGCATATGTAAAGAAAACCGTGTTTCTTGCGGTAAGTCTTACAAAATGGGTTAAGTGGGTATACCTTAAATATATTATATTGCTCGAAACGGCTGAAATGTATGTACGTGTAGTACCGGGTAAACGGTCGATTAAACCGTGAACCATTTTCACACAAAATAATATAATATAAATAATGTTAACAAAACGTTTAACCGTATTTTCCTTGTACGAGCCTACGGGGCAAACGTTAAAGTTAATAGGTAAATTACACGTTCGGACGGACGAGAAAAAAAAAAAACGATTTCGGTGTGCGTTTATCACCGTAGGGTCCTTTTCGGTCCACGGTACGTAATACGTCTCCCACACATTCGGCAGCAGGAGCAGCAGCTATTCAAACAAACGTACAGTCGAGTAATGATTTTATAACACGATATTCGCCCCCGCGTGTCGGTCGGCTTACGTGTGACGGTGGGGTTGTTCCAACACAGAATCTGTATATTTTCCACTCCTGCAACGCCCAGGGCCTGTTGGTATGTCTGTTAGTGCGTCTGTCCGACGTTTTCGTATTATTGTTCGGAAGTATAAAATAATAATGAACGTATAAAAAAACCGTTTCTCCGACGCAACAATGTTTCGTATATTATGTTTCGTGAGAGTCGTACGTACTTACGTACGTACGTGTGTGTGTGTGTGTGTATTGTAAACACGTCGTCGTCGTCGTTTCGGCGCACGCAATATTCCACCAGGTTGTCTGCCACCGCCGCGTGAGTCTGGACCACGGAATAGATATCAATACGAACGACGATAGCCGCGAGATATCCTTCGCCGCCGCCGCAGTAGTGCTTCCCACACACACAAAATTGTTCGTGGCTACCTGAATTACGGTCGGTTTTTTTTTTTCAAAATACCGGGGTAACACAAATTTACATGTCTAAACGGGTTATTTCTTATTATAATATATATACGTACTTGCGCGTAGCCGGTTAGGTGTGTAGAACAGTCGATTTCGATTAGCCATACCTATTAAACGCGCGTGTTGAATTCATCTCGTCGGAGAACAAATATGAGTATTATTATTATTTTCGTAATCGTTATACTTACCCCGAAAACAAGGTGTGTGTATGCATGTGTAATGTGTGTACCAGCTATTGTAAATCGTTGTTTATAATACAATATTTAAAAATATTTATATCCCGTAAGACTGCGCATAATGGTATAAATATATTACATATTTTCATGGGCACCAGTATTATGTTCAACGCTCCGAGTCAACCCGAAACGATTTCCCACCCTACCCTTCTTCGGCAGTACTAACGCCGAGCGAATAAACATGTTAATGTCGTACAGGCGAGTAAAAGATAATCTCGTATTTCACATTGTCTATCGGCTACTACTACTATTATTATTATTTTTATTATTATTATTATTATTATTATTATTATTATTAATGTTATTAATGTTGCCTAATTTGCATATTATTTTGTGGCTACTGTTTCGTGTATATTCTGTTCGTCAACCATAACATATAAAATAATAACCACACGTATGGTCTTGTACAATGACCGATTTCTCTGTTCAAACTAAACCTATATGGAAACATTGTAAATAATATTTAAGTTAAATTAAAAAGAGTAATTTTGAATATAGAAATCATTGAAAAATGTTTAAACCCTTTACGTATACAGTTTTTAGTCAAATAATCAAAAGTCGAAGTTCATGGATTCACACACTAGGCCCTATATCTTCTCAAAATAAAAATTAATATTATATGACTATATAAATGAAAATGATTAAAACAACTTTACGAAAAATTTCTCTTCAAAGTGTGCTTTAATGTGTAAATTATATAGCTACATTTTTTTTTTACCATCACGATAAAATATTCTAGTGTTTGCACATACAATAAAAGATATAAGCGAAACTTTAAAGTATAGAAAACCAAATTAATGAAATTAAAATTATGAATTTTTTTATTTTAATAAAAAAAATACAACAAAGTCAAAATAATAATTTAATATAAATAAACTTTAATAAAATATTATTATTTCGGGTTTAAATTTTGCTTCGACAATATGATGAAAATGTTTTCGCGTAAATTATACGTTAATTCATTTTTATAAAAAATACGCTGGTGAAATAATACAATAATTGTTTAATTTATTCTTTAATTATTTTTTTTTTATGTACAAGTAGAATAGGAACAAAATAATAATTGTTTATAATATATCAGGTGTACCGTTTGTGGTTTATAATAATAGTACACACGTTACAGCGCATAGTATTGTGCGTGTCGTGCCTATAAAAATATTATAGAAACGTATACAAGGTATACTAAGCGCTTTAGTCATCAACTGTGTTACGCGTATATTACATTATCTTATATATGCATAAATTATATGGTAGTTCGATAAAAGTAGTAGCCGATTTAAGCTAGGTATGTATAGAAGACATGGTTGAGCAACCTCAGTATTGGAAACACGAGGTTATTAAGATAAATTTACGAAATATACAATTATCATGTCGTTTAAATAATCGTATAAAGAAGATTATTACACACCCATCAACACGTACTTGGTTTTTTTTTTAATTGAATAATTTTTTTTTTCATCATACACACCGTTTGAATATCCTACGCTCGTTATTCAAAATAATAAATTGGTAATGTATAATAAAAGTACATGTAATGATCTGTTATTTATTATTTGATTACGTGTTTATTATTTCAAAAAAACATATTACATTTGGATACGCGTGTATACGTATAATAATGTAAACAGACCGTGTCGTGTTCGAGTACGGAAAAGAGGAGCACCATGAGCGGTTTATTTAAAACACGAATTTGTGGGCAAAAATTAAAATTCAACTTTCTGTCAAACGGAGCACTCATGACGCTCATGAGTGCAATAATAATTCTATACGTATAATAAATCGTTCTTTTGACATTGCCTTCGCGAGTTCCGTGCGCTGCGTGTGGTTAATATTGTTATTGTATTCATGTGTACGAGTACCGACTAATGTGCGCGAAGCATATCGTTAAAAGGTAATAATAATAATGACGGTGGTTTGAAAATAAAAATATATATCGCTCTAAGTTTACCTCGGGAATATACATGCGCGTATTGCATTATTTATAAGGTGAAATTAGCCAGTTTATAATAGCTTACCGAACGGCTGATGTTGCAGGACTTTTTGCAGTCGGTGAAGTGTGTGTAAATTCTGTGAGAAATTACAGATTAACATGTTTATCCATATTGTCTTATTCTCTCTATACTTTCAATCAGTAGTTTGGTTTACGGCCACCTTCCATTCTGTTCGCTTTCCTTTTCATTTCTATATATGAGTTGTATCCTTTGTCTTTTATTATCAGTTGAATATACTCTAGATATTCCCTTATGGTTGTCCCCTTCTACGCTTTCTTTTAAAATTAGTTTTAGTAGTATTTCGTGTGATTTATCATATGACTTATCCATTCGATTCGTCTTCCAACTACATAATTTCCATAATAACTTTCCATCTGTAATTATTTTCAGTACCTTTACATTTGTCTCTCTATACATCCAACTTAAAAAGAGAAAAATACTAACATCAAAAAATATGAACATAGTAACGAAGAAGCAACTCATAAAAACATACGTCTGGAGTGTGGCATTATACGGAAGTGAGATCTGGACAATTAATAAGAAAGAAAAAGATATGTTAGAAGCTCTGGAGATGTGGTGCTGGAGAAAGATGCAGAGAATAAGCTGGACTGATAGAAGATCAAATGAAGACATCCTGAGGACAATAGGTGAAAAACAAACATTGATAGACATTATAAAGAGAAGGAGATGGCAGATGATAGGACACTCGTTGAGACATTGAGATGAATTGCATAGTTTAATAACCGAAGAAATGATAGAGGGTACAAGATCAAGAGGAAGACCTAAGACGAGATACATTAGCCAAATAATCTGCATATTATTATTATATATTATTATGTAGGAGTCATTTCTAACAGGGAACTTAAGAATATGGCGAATGATGGAGAAACCATTTATTGTAAAACATTTGTTAAAATCTCCGGATTGAAAAATAAAAAAAAAAACATCCAACTTATCATTAATATTTTTCTATAGCACCATATTTCAAATGACTTTAGCCTATTTTCGTTCTTTTGTTGATATTGTCAAGGTTTCACATAAAGAGCTATACTCCATACATGCATTTTTAAAGTTTTATTGTTTTTAGGCTAATATTTCTTGATGTACAGTTTTCTTGTTGTTAAAGTATGTTTTTGAAGTTGTTGATAAAGCCTATTTTAGCTTGACATATGTGTTTTGATATTTCATTCCTATTTCTTCCATTATTTCTGATTGTGCTCCCTAGGTATATGAGTGGGTGTATCCAAGTTCGGTCCCAGATAATGTTTATGATACAAATAAACAACTAATTGGGTCCGACTGTAAAAATCATAACTAAAGCTAGGATTTTAATGTCATTAAAAATCGCGAAAAATGACATATGCAAAAATAACTTATAAAACTAAAAAAATGCCTTTAAAATTTATTTAAAATAGCTTTTTAAAATTTAAAAAAAAAATTACATTACATATACAATGTATATTATACATAAATATTTTATTTTACTTCATATATTAATAAATAAAAAAATATTCTTTGTTGTTACACTAGAACGTGCCTCCTGTTGTTCCCCAACAATTTTTGGTAGATATACATATTTTTTTCTTGTTCTTCAATTTGTTTTCTTCGTTGTACTCCATTTATATGTTTGTCTATTGATAATATCAATAGACAATATTTATTATATATTGTATTGTAAAATGTTTATCAACAGTAACTTTTACATTGTATACCTTACACCAGGGGTCGGCAACCTTTTGAACCACGCGGGCCATATTTTTTTTTCAAATGTTTATCATGGGCCCATTAAAAAAAAAATTTTACATATAATATATACTAATAATTGTATTGCTATTATATTTGATTATTTTACATAGAAATATGAGTGTAAAAAATATTAATGTTACTGGAAAAAATTGCTTTTAAGAAGAAATTTAATTTTTCAACAAATTAAATATAATGGCTTACCTTTGTTTACGACGAAAAAGTATACATCAACCCAAGAATTATTAAAAAAAAAACGATGTTCATCACAATTTTTTAGTCGCCATAATGTTTGGATTTACTTGTAAAATGAAACTATTTCAAACGCAAACAGTGACACGTACGGGCGTAATCACGGTGTAATACTAATTGTTTCAAATGCAAAGTAACTATGACCATAGATTAAGTATATTGGATACATATGTATTAAATACATATATTAAATATATTTAAGGTTTTAATTTTTAAATATACTTGTATAAGTATATTTAATTTATCCTATAACTGAGTAGTGCAGCCATCATTATCTTCGACTCCGATTAGATAATAATAACAATTTTATAGATTAAACTGACTATATAACTATATAGAATAAACATTAACTATTAAAGATTAGATTAGATTTTATTAATAAAGAAAAAAAAATTAAATAGTATTGAACATTTTATGAAAAATTTTTTCGAACAAAAATAAAACACAAAAATTAACCATCTTTGAGCAGGCCATAAAAAATTGATTCGCGGGCCATATGCGACCCGCGAGCCGCGGGTCGTCGATCCCTGCCTTACACAATAACATTAATCTGTCGGAAAAAAAATCTATAATCTATAATTTTTAATTCAAAAACACCAAAAATGACTTAAAAATCCCTAAAATGCCCTAAAAAATGAGAAAAATGACCTTAAAATCAAAAATTGTCAGAAATGCAAAAAAATTTCAAAATAAAATATCTTATTCTAATTTAAAAATACCTAAAACATATTTGTAACAAAACGAGCATCGCAGAGAAAACTTCAGAAAAAAAATGCTAAATGTATCGAAATCCCAGCCTTAATCATAACATACTAGTTCGATCCAACCACTAAGACAATAAAACCTGTTACTCACAAGTATTGATACACTAGATAATATTAAAAAAATTAATAGATTGAGTTCGTAAAAGCTCTATCATTTAAATTTTTACCAATTGTGTTAAATTTTTAAATTATTTTATTTATTTATTTATTTACTATATACCAATTTTCTAATTTTGAATTAATAATTATATGACATATATTAGAAACTTAAAAAAAAAAATCGTACCTATGTTCTAATTTATAGGTAACTGACAGTCTTAAGTCTGCAGTCTACATATAAAGGAGAAGCGAATTTTTTTTTTTGTATGGAACCAACAAAAGTAGTATTTGTAAAATCTTGGGACCCGACTAGTGTACTATCTATTTAATTAAATATTTCCAATGGGGGCAGCATGGCCCTAAGTGACAACACCATTACATTTTTGGAATAACGTAGACGTTATTACACCACAAATTTATAACAGTAAATTCTCGTAAGACGCATGCTCAAATATATAAGCATACCTACCTACTATTTAACTACTGACGTTTTGACCTACAGATTTTCGTTGTCACGAGATGGATGTACGCTAATTTACATTATGTTGTTAACGATATTGAATAATTCATTTTTGTGCGTTTTCTACGAGGTATAGTATTTCGTGTTGGAAAAATTATCTGTTTATACTGCACACTTGTATAATTTTTGCTGCGATTAAAAAAATGTATGTAAATGCACTCATTTAATATTATGAGTATATCTGTACCGTTTCATATTTATATACACATACTCACTTCATACATACAAGTCAATATGTATATCAATATATAAATTTACCGTAACTATGAAAATTATTAATACTGTTTTTTCATTCAACAAATTTTTGCGTTCATGATGGGTCAAAAAATTACGAACGTGAAGTTACACACTGTATCTATTGCAATGAAATATTTTGAGAATAATATACTATCGTATAAAAATATGAATACTCGTGTGTACCTGTATTACGAATGTAATTGGTCGTAATTTCTCTAAACAATCGATATAATGCGGTGTACAGTGTTACATAACGACAACGTTAACGAGAAGCGCAATCAGCTGCCGCAATGGCGGCGAATACATTATAAAATTCAATATCATGTAATATAACAAAGCAAAATAAAGCCATCATAACAATATATGTTTGTAAAGTATGTTACTTAACAGTTATCCAATACGGTGTAAAGCACTTTGTAATCTTTAATCTATCATAATTTGAATGATTTCAACGTACGCGATGTTAATATAGTTTATTATTTTGCAATATTACACGGTATTCAGATCAACAACCGGATTTGATTACATAGGAGTGAGAAAAGACGTATGCAACTTCAAACAATAAAAACATTTAAACAATAAGTGTATTGCGTACATACTCGTATGTTGGAAATGGTCACTAATGAAAAAAGGTATACGACCATAAGAGTATTCATTATTATTACGTTAAGTGTACACCCATATTAATACATAATTTTATTAATAATTTCATATTTATGCAATTTGTGAATTTATACGAATAATATAATTTTTTAATTTAATAGCAGTTAGCCCACCGTAGTATTTATCGAATCATATTTTTCAGGGCGATGCCCGTTTCCACCAATACTCGTTTCCACCAAAAGTGTATCATTCCCTTTTCCACCAATATCCGTTTCCATCAAATGAGATATTGACCACGTTTATACCAAATAAATTGTATACTACGCTTAAATTAAAAGCTATAGCACAGAAATAACTTTATTTAACATATACTATTAATTCAATAAATGTAAAGGCATTATATAATATATACAATATAGGTTGGAAAATGTTAAATTTTATTTAAAAAAATGGTCAGATATAAAAAGATGAAAAAATATGAATTAAATAAAAAATTATGATATACGATACCTTAGTTATGTAAATTGTAACTATATATATAATTAGTTGATATTTGTTAACTGATCCAATAAAAAATTTAAAGTTATTTATTACTAGTGTTTTATTTCCACTGTTACTTTCGATAACTTTAGCCATCGTAGAATTATAAATTTTTAAAATTTATGTTTTATTTTAACACACACGCAGTTGTAATGCACTATTTAAACTATGTCATCTGTTCACTTGATATTATAATGGTTAATGGACATAAAAGTACATGCATAAGTACGATAACGGTTTAACATACAATTAAATACAATAAATATACAATATACATTGACTATATTGTGTGTATATTTATATATATTTTACATCAATCCGAAAAACCCACGAAAAGTATAGATATTTTATCTTATTTGGTGGAAACGGATATTGGTGGAAAAGGGAAAGATACACTTTTGGTGGAAACGAGTATTGGTAAAAAGGGAAAGGTTTACTTTTGGTGGAAACGTGTTACGCCCATTTGTCATTATTTGTACAATTTATATGATATGAATATAGATATATCCGGAATTTTTGATTAAATAAAATATTACGTTAAATCAATTTAAATATTAAAATATTTAAATCAATTCTTGTACAGTTCCTTAGCATTTATAAATTTAGGTACATTAATTGATAATTGGTTGAATAATTTAGTTGAAGCTGCTGAGAGCCTAAAAGGCTTTTAAAGTAAAATTAAAAAAAAAAAAATTAATAATTTTTAAAAACCGCATTCTTAATATTATCAAAATTGTAGTTATCTACTGAATATATTTTAATTTAAAGTTTCATCAATATTATAACAACCACGGAAATAATTACATGCGTGCGTGAACACTCGCAAGTATTAATAATCATTTTTGTAGAAAAAAACTTGTTTATTTGTGATGAGATATAACTTAGTGTGATACGGTTAATAACTTATTTCCGGAAAAATCTAAAAAAAAATAAAATATAGAATTAATAATGAACAACATGCAA